AAGAATACGAACATGTTCTTGCATGAGGCCCATTGTTTCAACAAACAAAAACCAGGGAGTTTTCTTTCTTAAAGAGTTCCCCTTTGATGTCACTTCCTGTTTCACTTTGACTGAGCCAATTTCTAAAGAAAACATTCCAGTCATGTGATAAAATGGGTAAAATGTTGTGTATGCTATGTTTACTAAGTAAGGATGTTTTCTTTGACGTTTTGTATTTGAAAGATATGCATGTCACAGGCACTTTAACCTAATTAAACGTGTTGAGATCTTTAAAGAACACAAGTAGAACAGGCTAAGAGTATCCTACTACAAAAACACAATAACATAAAATAGACAAAAACCATAAAAAAATTATTGATGCCAAATGTGTTTCTAATTTTAAACATTTTTATGTCAAGATAACAAAGCAGAATGTGTACATACATTTTTAACTGTATGCAGAACTTTTGTTCAGGTTGGTATTATTACAGTCATTGGGTGTTATATTTCCACTGAAGGGTTTGCTAATCATTGTTTAAGTGACGTTCTGTCAAATAGTTGCAGTTTGTTAGGAACTTATCAGCCGTGACATTATTCAGGGAGCATGGAATATGGAGCAAAAGGCAAAAGTCTTCATTCAAATCAGAGCCATTTTTCTGTGTGCTTATAATGAAATTATTTTTCTAAAGCAACATGACGATATTAAAGAACTTTACATTAGCTAATATTGCACATCTACAATGTTTAGTTTGTCACTGTTGTCTCGGTTGAACAATGTTCATGCTACAATGCAGATGTTTGTGTGCTCTGAGAATAAAGAGGCTGCGAATATTTCAGCAGCCCAGATCAGCATGTTGAGTCAGTCTAAAGGTTTACTCTCAGCATTAGTGGGACATATAACAATGTATGTTTGGGACATGTATTCTAGCCTGAACAAAGACTTTTGTCTCTGGCGCCATACTCCATGCCAGGACTCTCAAGTTTTCATCTGAGCTTGGAGTAAGATTTTAAGCCACTGACAACACAATCACTGTTTTGAATGATAAGTAAACAAATTTAATTTAATTTGCAATGCGGACATGAAATTAAGTGGGTCTCCTCTCTGTTCTGACTGAGTTTGCTGCACAAGGCTGCTGTGAGACTGACCAGCTGTTTCCAATAACACAGAAAAAAATTGCTAGATTTGTTGCTAGTCGCATTTTTGAAAAAAAAATGTTGTTAGAGGAGGCTGTAAACTCGCTAAATTGGCAACGCTGCACCCATGCCCCCTGTTGTGTGGAAAACATTGCGCTGCACAGTGGTTCCTCGTCAAAAAAGTGTGTGTGTGTTTTAACATCAGAAGTACAAAGTGTGGCAGGTGCACTTCATGAAATGCATATGTCTCCTGGTCAGTGCATGAGCCATGATAGCCCTGCTCCATGCATTATGAATTACATCACTACTSATAAGGCACTGACTGTTGTTAACCACTGACAAAACATCACTTTTAAAAGGGCTATCCCTTTGTATGCCTTGAGACCCCTTAATTTTGGAAAAAACTAAGATTGTACACCCCCCCCCCCATACTTTTAAGACATACAAATAAAAATAAAGCACATCCACCATATATATGGGCAAAACAAAGCATTCATTCTTCTGAAAATGGATGTCCCCTACTCCCATACTGATAMTTCACAATCTTTAGTAGAACCGCAAAGAAATTTTTGTTTCCATGTTTCCACAGCAACATTGAAATTCGGCAAATGTTCTGTTCACTCTGTGGACGTGATTATACATTTTTTTATTGTGTAGAAATGTATGTCAAATGTTCAGCAACCTATTCTTTTTATTTTTTTGTGGTTTTGTAATTTTTTCAAATGAAGATAAGCTTATGGTGTAAGTCACATGACAGGGAACTAAACTCCCTACTGCAGCTTAAAGAGACAAAATCTTGTGTGGTGGGTTAGAGAAAGCTATTCAGTGCTACCTTTCTACTTTGGGAATACTGTGATGATTAATTATATTTATATTTTAAAAATCTTACATTTGACTGTATCTTGAGCTCTTAAAAACTCCCTGTTTACTGTACCCCTAGGCTGGTAAAAATCGACCCCTTGTTCATATGCTTTGCTTCATACAGTGGGTCTTGACTCTCGGCTATTGAGAAATGATTGTTTGCTGGAGGTGTGGACTCTGTTGAAGTCTAAATTGATTGGGTCTGATTTTACCCAATCCCTAACTTTTGGCCGTGATGTATGTAGTGCACCAGCTCGACTGTGAGCTATGCTAAGAAACTTACCAGAAACAACCTGTGAACAACCATCTCCTACAAAGTATTATCAAACCAAACGAGACGTCTGTAAATGAGTGCTGCAGACGTTGGAAGACAAATTTAATTTAATGTAGAAACCAAATCCAAGGCCATGGTCTTGAGCTGGAAAAGGGTATAGTKCCTTCTCTGGGTTGGGGAGAAGGTCCTGCCCCAAGTGGAGAAGTTTAAGTATCTCGGGGTCTTGTTCATGAATGGGGGAAGAACGGAGCGGGAGATCAACAGGTGGATTGGTGCTGCGTCTGCAGTGATGCAGGCGCTGTATCGTCTGTCAGGGTGAAGTGGGAGCTGAGCCAGAATGCGAAGCTCTCGATTTACCGGTCGGTCTACGTTCCTACCCTCATCTCTGGTCATGAACTTTGGGTAGTGACTAAAAGAACAAGATCACGGATACAAGCGGCTGAAATTAGTTTCCTCCGCAGGGTGTCTGGGCTCTCCCTTAGAGATAGGGTGAGAAGCTCGGTCATCCGGGAGGGACTCAGAGTAGAGCCGCTGCTCCTCCACGTCGAGAGGAGCCAGTTGTGGTGGCTCGTGCATCTGGTTAGAATGCCTCCTAGACRCCTCCCTGGTGAGGTGTTCTGGACAAGTCCCACTGGGAGGAGACCCAGAGGAAGACCCAGAACATGCTGGAGGGAAGTCTGTGTCTCTGCTCAGGCTGCTGCCCCCGTGACCCAACCTTGAATAAGAGGAAGAAAACGAAAGGAAAATGGTAAAACCTTGTCAACTCGAACCGAATGGCTTCATTCATTTCCGCCGCTGCTACAGACTAAAACAATGCAGAAAATTGACGTCATTGTTCACAACACCTTTGGTTTTTTGATTGGCTCTGCTGAAATTCTACAGAAGAAATTCATGACGTGGCAGAAAGCCCAGATGGAGCAGTGAAGGGAGATTGGAATTGAGCAGAATTGGATAGGAAGGCAGTGGCCAGGCTATGTACCCCTGCCCTCGGTTTGGTTTTACTCCGGCTGTAGGTTCTCAGGCAATGTGTCAGAATCAGTCCCATGTTTATCTACAGTGGTGTCTTTTAGGCTTGTGCAAAATTGTTTTTTGTCCAATTCATTGTCAGGAAAAACTGTCACAGATTAATATTTGCCACTTTGCGATCAGTGCTACATTATGATGACATATTTTTGTGTGCAACACACTCTAACTATCAAGCATGCATGTGAGCCCATAATATCACACCAATGGTGGAAGGCAGCACAGACCAGCTAACCCTAACACTACGTACAAAATTGTTTCATCACCTGAAACACTACCAATGCAGACCAAGCCAATGTTGGTTACAGGAAACTCTCCTCCAGCGAATGGTGGACTGGAAACAAATCTACTCAGCCCAGAAACCACAGTTCATTCAGTCAATATGTGCGTTACGATTGAAGTAAATGCTTGAGAGAGATAATGTGGGGTGTGGCTGGTTTGACTGGTAATTTGAAAGTATAATTTTAGAAAACAGGGTAGCTGATTTTGAGTCAAAATATGCAAGTGCAATTGTCATCTATTATTCATCATAATCGTCATCGACTAAATGCCATAAATAATTGTGATTCTTTTTTTTTTTTGCAATATTTCCTGACCCTACTGTCATTTGTGGTGGTCAGTTGATCAACAGTGGTAGCAACGTCTTTGCTCTGTTTTTCAGGTTTCCTCTCAAGGCTTGCCATCAGAGCCCTACCCTCCATTCCAAAACCCTCCCCCACCCGACAATGGCAACTACGAGGACCAGGCCTTCTACGAGAACCAGGTCCACGCKGGGGGTCGGCCCCCGCAGGGTGAACTCAACATGCACCTGCAGGGCCTCAAGTCCACCGGGAACTATGTAGACTTCTACTCAGCCTCACGGCCTTACAGTGAGCTGAACTACGAGACCAGCCACTACCCAGCTTCACCAGACTCCTGGGTCTGAAGGGACACACGAGTGGAGGAGGAGGAGGAGGACAGGATGAACAACGGAACACAAAACAGAGAAGAGGTGTAAAGGCTGAATGAGAGCTGAGAGGACAGTCTCTCTCCCTCCTCGTCCTCCACCCTTGTAGTTTCTGAGTAGCGTTTTAGATAAGACAAATGAGCGGGGTAGGATGGAGCACAAGAACAGAAGACACAGGGGCGGGGGTCACAACATAACGCTCCTCTCAGAAACATCTGAGGAAGGTGCGAGGTGGGAGTGCTGGGGCAACAAACAGAAGCAGAAGCAACCGAAGAGTAGCCACGCATGTGCATGCACGCCACCAACCGATCTGACAAGACACATTTTGTTTCTGTGTTACGTTCAAGATCAAAAAATAAACAAAATGTTTGAGAAAAGGCAGAAAGACACCGGGGCCTCTGAAAGGCTTTTGGAAGCAGAATGTAAAAGAGGTGGGTGTGATGAAGAGGGTAGGAAACGCAGAGGAGAAGCTTGGTGGCATAAACAAGTTTGGAATATAAGGGGAAGATAAAAGAGAAGCACGGATTGAAGGACTCCGACAGGAATTTGTGTAAAGCAGAAAAATAAAAAAAATAATTTAAAAGAAGGAACATGTCAGAGAGGCCTGGTTGAAACCTGTAAATATTTGGTATAGCAACATGGCTTGTAGTAAAGTGAAGCACAAGAAGCAGAGCTGTAGGACATGCAGTACATCACCTTTAGTTTCTCTTCATGGCTTCAGCACGGTGTTTTCCTACTCAAGACCGAGAGCGCTTCTGGACTTTTCATTTGTACCACTTTGTTTGTTTGTTTGTTTTTTTCTTTTCCTTTGGTTGTGTTTTTACTTTTTTAAAATTCTGGTTGTATAGTATTTGATGTACATTTACAGAGATGCATTGTGTACCGTACATTGCACTATTTTCTGTGTCATGTTTGGCCTTTTTGTCTCACCTCCTCACGTAACATCACGTGCCGTAACTGCACCGGAAGCTCACGTCACACTTCACGGTACTAATGTGAAACACTGGATTATGAACTGCCGGGTCACAGAGCTCCTTTCACTACTAGTAGATGGTACAGCTAAGAAGAAGCTTAAAAACACACAAGCAGCGTCTCCTGCTTTGCTTTACTTTTCTAGGCTCGCTTATGTGTATCGGCACCTAGCTTTTCTTATAACCGTCACAAATCCTCTTTTTTTCATTCGCGGGGTGGGAGTGACCTGTCCTTCATCATGTATATAACCGTGCCAAATGAGCGTTTCTTCCCCTCAGCTGAGGAGGAGGGGGAGGGAACGTTAAGGGTGCGTTTAAAGGGTCCAAGTTGAGCTGATGGTTTTTCAGCTGAACATCCTCGCGCTTCAAACGACGCCAGTTTGTACATGCTTTGGTTTTTCTAAACTGTGTTTTACTGAAAAAAGAATTTGTCTAACTGCACCAACATTAGGATTAAAAATTACAAAAAATTACAAAAACTAAAAAAATGGGAAAAAAATACGTGAAAGATTCTTTGAGGGACAATGAGATCGGGTCGAAGCATCACAAATGTACAAAATGAGTAGATTTCTGTGTTGTAAAATAATCAATGTTTGAAGTACAGCAACAACAAAAAAACTTTTTCAGACAGATGGGTGGTAATCCTAACTTCATGGTAGACAAATCTGTTAATAGAGTACGGATATATATTATATAAATATAAATATATTCTTTTTATGTGCAGATGTGGATGTCACTTATAGCAGCAACATTATGGGGAAAAAGACTTGTAAAGAAAAAAAACAGCTACATGTAGGCATTTTGTTCACTTTTTTTTGGTCAACACAGTGAATTGTCAACTTTGTGTAGTAATGTTGCCATTTGGAGTAGAGTAGACCAGGGCCCAGGGATCCACGTTGACACCAAATGAGTCCAAAAACAAGGTGCTACGTTCATTAGTATTGCCAACACATCTGTATTTCAACTCAATTGTTTGCCCAACCAATTGCTGCATTTCAGAAGTATAAATTAKGTGCAAGTTTCAGCTTCTTTGTGAAGAATCAAACTTATCATCGTGTCCAAAAAGCCAAGCTTGCACCTATGAATGCACGAGTATTTTGTCCCATTAAACCAACTGTAGCAGCTGACAATGGACCCTGGCCCTCTTTTACCCACTGCTGTTTTTAGAGGTCATCTTCCAGTGCTTAAAGCGACTCATGATGCAACTGATTCCCACAAACACACACTGGTTTTAAAAAATTACAACAAACAGATATACTGTATTTGTTAGTAAGCATCTGGAAACTGACAATGTTCTGTATGTCTTTGTGATCCTTAGGCAGAAAATCTGACTATAAGACCTGTATAGAGATAATTATGTTGGTGACCTTTTTTTAATATTTTTTTATTATTATTATTATTTTGTTTTTTGTTGTTGCTAGACCAAATGTGTTATAAAAAGGCAATTGTGAATCTTTCTAATGCCTCAAGCAGATTGCAACCGCTCCAAAAAAATATAAACAGACCACTGATGAACTTTTGGTTTCTTGAGTTGTTTTGTTTAAAAAAGGTTTGTTGATGAATTTGAAATCATACATTAAAACCTAGCCCTCCTTGTGCGATTGCCTGCCACCTTTCATGCCAGCATTTCAGACAAAGATTGTCTCACATTGAGAATTTTTAGTCAAACTTTGTTAGTAGTGAATGACTGTCAGACACTGTCACACCAAGKGTTTGCTCAATAACTGTAAAATTAGCTGAGTTACAAACATTTATTTRCTGGCTTTGTATGCACCACAGGTTAGTTTTCAGTTGGAGGAGAAAGAGGAATTTTGTAGTAAGCTGGATAAAGTGGTTGAAGGGGTCCCCAGAGAAGAGAGATTGGTGATTGGTGCAGACTTCAATRGTCATGTTGGTGAAGGGAACAGAGGAGATGAAGTGGTGCTAGGTAGGTATGGTGTGAAAGAAAGGAATGCAGAAGGACAGATGGTTGTAGATTTTGCAAAGAGAATGGAAATGGCTGTGGTGAACACATATTTTCAGAAAAGTGAGGAACACAGGGTGACATACAAGAGTGGAGGAAGGTGCACACAGGTGGATTGTATCCTTAGCAGGAGATGCCACCTGAAAGAGATTAGAGATTGTAAAGTGGTGCCAGAGGAGAGTGTAGCAAGACAACATAGGGTGGTAGTCTGTAAAATGAAATTAGAAACAAAGAAGAGGAAGAGAATGAAAACGGAGCCAAAGATTAAATGGTGGAAGCTGAAGGAGGGGGATTGTTGCAGGCAGTTCTGGGAAGAATTGCACCAGGCTCTTGGGGGCAGTGAGGAGCTACCTGAGGACTGGGAAAGAACAGCTAAGGTGGTGAGAGAAACTGGCAAGAAGGTGTTGGGTGTCCCTTCTGGTCAGAGGAAAGAAGACAAGGAAAGTTGGTGGTGGAACGAGGAAGTCCAGGAGAGCATTCAGAAGAAGGCAGCTAAGAAAAGATGGGATAAACAGAGAGATGAGGGAAGTAGGCAGGAGTATTGTGAAGCTAGTCGCATAGTGAAAATAATGGTCAATCGCAAATCCGCTAATTGCGGACCTAAATATTTCATTTGTTCTTTAGCGGACTTACTGATTTTTATAATTCATAAGCGGATTTGCACTTTCTAAAATTAAAATGCAGTACAGCTAATAACTAATTATCTACCATTCATTATTATCTTGAACAGTAGACTGTCAATGAATCACAACACACGTGATCTGTCCAACAGCACCCTTCCCAGACAAACACACTTATTGGGAAGGTATACATCCTTGCTGACTGTTGCTTTCGGACACAGTTCTGATTTCCCACAATGCTTTGTGTCTGCTTACGTAGCAGGAAAGCAATAGCAAACAGTAAACATTTGTAGTCCATACTAAAGTTTTGCATGTATTGATTTACTTTACTTTACAATCGGAGCTCCTTTTTAAAAAAAAGTTTAAACGCTGTGATGGACTTGCGACCTGTCCAGGGTGTACCCCGCCCCTCGCACTGTGACTGCTGGATATGGGCACCAGTGATCCACGCAACCCTGAAAAGGAAGAAGCGTGTACAGAAAATGGATGGATGGATGGATGGATGGATGGATGGATGGATGGATGGATGGATGGATGGATGGATGGATGGATGGATGGATGGATGGATGGATGGATGGATGGTGGAGCTCAAAAGCAATCGGCCAACGGTTTTAGAGACTCAGAAATTATTTAAAGATGTTATGCTGGTGAAGACTGACATCTAGTGGTCAACTGGAGCAACTACATGGAAAACGTCCTAATCCAAGTAGAAAAAAAATCAAAAAGAAAAAATAAGTAGGTCCTCTGGATGGGTTCGTCTTTAGTGAAACGTTTCGTCTCTCATCCGAAAGACTTCTTCAGTCTGATGAGTTTCAGGTGAACTGGAAAACTTTAAAATTCAATGAAAACATGAAAAACTTTATCCAAGCTCTTATTTTGAAGGGAATATACTAGTTTCCTGTTCCCCGTACTTTCGTTTCCCGTCACAAATCAAATCTGTCATGTATCCAGAATGCATCACTTCAGTTTTCTAATAAACAATTTTAAAATTACTTTACTGATGCTTCTTTAATGAAAATTTTACAACAAACAAAAGAAAAAGACAAAGAAGCAGCCGAACTAGCAATCCTCAACAATGTTTTACTTATTACTCCATGAGCCAAAGTTCTGTTTCAGGAAATCATATCCCCAGCAATTGGCGGCTCTAGAATTAAGTTGTAAAAAAGTTCATACACCGCTAGTTGGCAGTGTTGTGCATATATTGTACATGAATTGTCAGCTAGTAAGTGTCGAACTTGCGCTTTAAAATTAGCTTCTGCTAGTTTTTCTATGGTATAAGCGGTTTTGAAGTTGCAGACCTAAATATTTTTGTAAGTACATTAGAAATTGCAGAGCTAATTTTTGGATTAGCGCTGCCCACAACTGGCAAAGGCTCAGGCCTATGATGAGTTGTATGAGAGGCTGGACAGTAAAGAAGGAGTAAAGGACTTTTACTGTTTGGCTAAACAGAGAAATAGAGCTGGAAAGGATGTACAGCAGGTTAGGGATAGAGAGGGTAACGTACTAGTGAGTGAACAGAGAGTGTTGAGTATGGAAGGAGAATTTTGAAGAACTGATGAATGAGGAAAATGAGAGAGAGAGGAGGACAGAGGGGGGACAGATAGTGGATCAGGATGTACAGAGAATTAGTTAGGAGGAAGTGAGGGCAGCCTTAAAAAGGATGAAGAACGGAAAGGCAGTTGGTCCAGATAGCATACCTGTGGAGGTATGGAGATGTCTAGGAGAGAAGGCAGTGGACTTTTTGACCAGGTTGTTTAACACAATTCTGGAGAGTGAGAAGATGCCAAATGAGTGGAGAAGCAGTGTACTGGTGCCCATTTGTAAGAACAAGGGTGATGTGCAGAGCTGCAGTAACTACAGAGGTGTAAAGTTGATCAGCCACACCATGAAGGTATGGGAAAGAGTTGTTGAAGCGAGGCTAAGGCGAAAGGTTCAGATCAGTGAGCAGCAGTTTGGTTTCATGCCCAGAAAGTGTACAACAGATGCAGTCTTTGCTTTGAGAGTGTTGGTAGAGAAGTACAGAAAAGGCCAGAAGTAGCTGCACTGTGTCTTTGTGGATCTAGAGGAAGCATTTGATAGGATGCCAAGAGAGGAACTGTGGTACTGGATGAGGAAGTCAGGAGTGACTGAAAAGTATGTGAGGGTGGTGCAGGACATGTATGGAGACAGAGAGACAGTGATGAGGTGTGCAGTTGGAGTGACAGATGGTTTCAAGGTGAAGGTAGGGTTACATCAGGGATCAGCTCTGAGCCCCTTTTTGTTTGCAATGGTGATGGACAGGTTGGCAGATGAGGTCAGGCAAGAGGCTCCATGGACCATGATGTTTACAGATGACATTGTAGTCTGTGGTGAGAGTAGAGAGCAGGTGGAAGAGAACCTGGAAAGGTGGAGGTTTGCGTTGGAGAGAAGAGGAATTAAAGTCAGTAGAGACAAGACAGAATACATGTGTGTGAATGAGAGGGAGGTAGGTGGATATGTGAAGATGCGAGGGGTAGAGGTCAGAAAGGCGGAAGACTTCAAATATCTGGGGTCAACCATCCAGAGCAATGGACAGTGCAGAAAAGAGGTGAAGAAGAGGGTGCAGGCAGGATGGAGTGGGTGGAGACGAGAGTCTGGGCTGTTGTGTGACAGACGGATAGCACCAAGAGWGAAAGGGAAGGTTTACAAGACCGCAGTGAGACCTGCTGTGATGTACGGTTTAGAGACAGTGGCACTGTCTAAAAGACACGAGGCTGAGCTGGAGGTGGCACAGATGAAGATGCTGAGATTTCTGTTGGGAGTAACGAGGATAGACAAGATTAGAACTGAGAAGATCAGAGGGACAGTGAAGGTGGAGCAGTTTAGAGATAAAGCTAGAGAAGCCAGGTTGAGATGTTTTGGACTTATGTTGAGGAGGGATAGTGGATATATTGGACAAAGGATGCTGGAGATTGAGCTGCCAGCCAGAAGGAAAAGAGGAAGACAGCAGAGAAGATTCATGGATGGAGTAAAAGTGGACACGGAGATGGTTGGTGTAACAGTGGAGGAGACAGGGGATAGAATGAGATGGAGGCAGATGATCCGCTGTGGTGACCCCTAAAGGGAGCAGCCGAAAGACAAAGAAGAAGAAGAAGATTTACGTTGATTAGCCGTGGCAGCCATCTTGTATTGGACTCCAAAAGTGAATCAGCTGTTTATGTATACAACCAATAATTTTTTGTCTCATTGGAATCTGTCCAGTGATTAATTAGATATTTTGTAACAGATAAAACTGGTTAAGTTGTTAACCAAAGATGTTATACTATGTATGTCACTCAAGATATATGTTGGAGATGATGCTCATATCTGTAAAACTGAGCAAGTTATGGTCATTTGCCATTTTCTAAGGTGACAGTCATTTTTAATTGAATTGATTTCAAAAGTTAATCTGTTGTAAATGCACATCTATTGCTTATTTCCCAAAGGTTTCAGTGAAATCCATGCTGTGGTTCATGAGAGATTTTGCTAACAGATAACGTTAATTAAACACAGATCTTGTTCGATCACTCAGTGCTATCAGGCTGGGTTTAGTCTCAGCTACCAACATGTTAAATTTTAAGTGTGAAATTGACTGCGTTCATTTTTGTGCTGTCTAAAATTGCTTWGCTGTGGCGGCCATCTTGAATCAGATTACCTCCAAAAATGAATCGCTGCAGATGTTAATCTAGGTGATAAACATTCTCAACAAACCCAGCTTACAAGCCGGTCCCCATCCTCTCTTTGTTGTGCTTTGGCTCTTCGCCAACACATAACTATGACAACCGTGGATGTGGCAGTGACTGACAACGGTTAAAAACTCCTCCTGGCTCTTATTGATTGTTTTCAATCAGGCGCAGTCTGCTTCATGGCGCTGACAGGGCAGGGTGACAGTTTCATTAAACAGGTCAAAAAGTAATTTTTCATTTTAGTTTCAC